AACGCTTCTGTGATGCTCCTGCACAAGTTGTAAATGAATGTGTGTGCTGGCCTCTCTTGGGGACACACTGGGAACGGCCGGGTCTGCGTGTAACTTCCCGAGGAACCGCCAGCTCTGTTCCCCACCAGCCACACTACTCCGTTCCCACCAGCACTGCATTAGGTTCCAATTTCTCCGAGTCTTCACCAACACTGGTTATGTTCTGGCTTGTTCTTTCTTCTAATACCACCCCAATGAGTGTGATATGCCGGTATCCAACTGTGGTTTCGGTTCACATTTCCCTGAGGACTAATGTTTTGAATCTTTTCCTGTGCTTATTAAAGGCCATTTGTAGATCTTCTTTGGGAAAATCTCTACTTTGGACTTGGCCTATTTCTCAATTGTGTTTATCTTTTTGCTCAAGTCGTGATAGTTCTTTATATATTCTGGAAGCTAGGCCCTTACCACATATATGATTTGCAAATACTCTCTCCCATTCTGTGGGTTATTTTTTTTACTTTCTCAATAATGTCCTTCGATGTACGTAAGTTTTTAATTCTGATGCAATCCAATTTATCTTTTTCTTTTGTTGCTTAAGCTTTTGGTGACGCATCTAAGAAACCACTGCCTAATCCAGAGACACAAAGATTTACACCTATGTTAATTTCTAAAAGTATTACAGCTTTAGGTGTCAGATCTATTTTGAGTTACTTTTTATATATGGGATGCAACTGAGGTCCAAACTCACTCTTTTGTGTGTGGATATCCGGCTATCCCAGCACCACCTGTTGAAAGGACTATTCTTTCTTCACTGAGTGGTCTCGGGGCACTTGTTAAAAATCAACTGAACAAAAATGGATGCATTTATTTCTGGACTCTGGATTCTACGCTCTCGATCTACCAGTCTATATTCATGCCAGTGTCACACTTCAGATTGCTGTGCCTTGTGATACGTTGTGAAATCAGGACACGTGAGTCCTCCAACTTTGTTCTTTTTTCAAGAGTGCATGGCTTTCCAGGCACCACGGACTTCCATAGGACCTTGAGGACCAGCCTTCCCATTTCTGCAAAAAAGGCCACTGGAATTTTGACAGGGATCACATTCAATCAGAAATCATTTCGGGAAGTGCTGCCATCATCTCAGCATCACATCTCCCAATCCACGAACACGTGGTGCCATTCCATTTACTTAGGTCTGCTTTCATTTCTCTCAACAGTGTTAGGATTTTCAGTGTGCAATCCTTCCACTTCCTTGCTTTAATTCCTCCCTAGGTAGAGATTAGTTTTGACACTATCATACATAGAATTACTTTCTTCATTTTACTTTTGGATTGCTTATTTCAAGTATATAACAAAGTGATTTGTGTGTGTGGATCTTGTACCCAGCCAATCTGGCAAACGTGTTTATTACGATATATTATGAACACTTTAGTCTTCTATACATAAAATTTCGTCATCCGTGACAGAAATTATTTTACTTCCTTTCCAATCTGAGTATCTTTATTTTTTAAACGTTCCCTTGCCTAACTGCCCTGACTAGAGCCTCCAGTGCGATGCTGAGTAGAAGCGCGGGAAGTGGAACCCGTCTTGTCCCTGATCCTGGCGACGGAGTGCATACCCTTTCACCATTACGATGTTACCATTAGTGTTTTACAGATGCCCGTGATTAGATGAGAAGTTCCTTTCTACTCCTAATTTGAGTGCTGAATTTCACCAAATGCTTCTTCTGCATCAACTTGGTTGTACTGAGTTATAACAAGACCCACTGCTCACCGGTATGAGCCCCCCTGGCATCACAGTACTAACCATGGAGGGCCCAAAGCAAAGAATGTAATACACCTGACATCAAGAAGGATTCCCTTTAGCTCTGCCCCACGATGCATTTTCGAGGAATCCTAGCAGCACAACTAGTGAAGCCAACAAGCTCTTCTGGGGTATAAACGACCAGCTGAGCAAAGTAACTAGCAAATAAAAAACTTACCAATCCTGAAGATCCTAAGCCCTTCTCTAAACCCAGACCCCAAGTAAGAATACCAGTAAATACAAAACCTTTAAAAAAAAAAGATAAATCTACTATAGTACAATGTTAGTATTCAGGTAGTCTGAGGAGTGTTTTGTAGGGTCCTTCTTACTTTTCTAGAAGTGTGAAGTTATACAAAAAGAAAAACATTTAAGAAAAACTTTACCAATGAGGCAAGATCTGAGATCAGTTGAAGTGACAGTTTTATTAATCCTAATATTGTATTCAACAGATAGGAATGCTTATTTAGTATTTTTTTCTTTAAATAAACAAAACCTACAGTTTGTTTTACACGTATTCTATGCAACAAGAGTTCTTCAAAATGAGTATCCCAAATGAAAGCTATCCCAGTCGTAAAGAGTTTGTTTTTGTCTTACCCCAGTGAATCGATGTTCAAAAATAGTAAAGAAAACAGTCTAGAGGAAAATCAATTTGGAAGTCTGTGCCTGATTCTATCCATCTACATTTGCCATCAATTCTCTGGTCCCACAATTAGTATCAACAAAATAAATAAAAAAGCCCAAATCACACAGAAGGCAGACCATCAATAAAGAACTGGTGGTACTTTTAAGGACTATTTTAAAAACACAAATGCAGGGCACCTGGGTGGCTCAGTTGGTTAAGCGACTGCCTTCGGCTCAGGTCATGATCCTGGAGTCCCGGGATCGAGTCCCACGTCAGGCTCCCTGCTCAGCAGGGAGTCTGCTTCTCCCTCTGACCCTCCCCCCTCTCATGCTCTCTCTCATTCTCTCTCTCAAATAAATAAATAAAATCTTAAAAAAAAAAAAACCACAAATGCATACAATGAATTAGTGGTATAATTAAGGACTACTTGAAAAACCTCACTGCTAGAAAATGCAAACTAAATGATTCTCAAGAAAAAAAGACAAAAGTATTACAAGTTAGAAATTAGGTACTAAATTTAAAAAAGATAATGAGCCAATTTGTGGCTCTAACTTTTAATTGGTAGCAATATATATGCCAGTAGGGTCCAGACAACAATTCCTACCCCAACCTCTGAAGAAAATCAGGTTCAAGTCAACTGGCAGCTATTCAAAGTTAGTATCACCCAAATTCATATAATTTACATATTAATTATTGGGTGGGGAAGGAGGTGGGATACAAATTTTTTATTAATAAAAAGGGGCAATTTGCATCTTTTTATAATCTTAACTTTTTTTCCTATATAAATCTTTTATTTCTAAATGTCATTCCAAGAAAATCTCGACTCTGTTTTATCTGGGAATGAGATAAAGTCCAACTTCAGTAAGAATTTGGGACTGCATCTATTTCCCATTAGGCGCTGCACGCTGGAATGTGGTATATACGGTCGATGTGGCAAAAGGAATGTTGGGGGAGGGTCAGCAGTCGAATCTGTGACTCTCTGTACAACTCTCACAACTTTTCTCCAAGTCTGAAATAATGTGAAAATAAACAGAAGAAAAATAATTTTAAAAATGCAATCACAGACACAAGATATCCAAATGTATAAAACCATCCCATGATTCAAGTCTAGAAAGACAGACAAATCCATTGGGAAAATGGGCAAAGGACAGGCATGGCAATTAGTGGAATAAAAATAACCAATAAACACAAAAAGCTGGCCAATCTCACTAGTAACCAGTAAAACACATCACAGGAGATGCTGCACATCACACAGTGGAGTGAAGACCCTTCCGAGGACGGAGTAGTGATGCTGACCAGGCTGGAGCAGCAGGAGCCACAGAGCGCCGACTGCGGGGGGACCAGCAGGGCCACCCCAGAGCTGGAAAGGGCAGAACCAAAATTTAAAGGATGCATTCCCCAACAGCGAGCAATCTCACCTCCCAGTGCTGACCTTAGAGAAACTGGTCAATATATACAGGGAGGCCCGAGAAAGGATGTTCTTTTCAAGGATGTTCAGAAGGTTTACAACCACCAAGACCAGAACGTCCATCAGAAGAGCTGCTACATGGCAAGTGGGACGTCCACGTTAGTATGTGTAGCACTAAAGGACAATGGTCACACCGCCACGGAAGGAGCCACAAGACGCGATGAGCGACCCACACCTGCACCTGGAGATGCCACTGAGTGCTTCGAAAGCACCCCTCAAAACCAACCCCCACGGTTGGCTCTGCAGCCGTGCTTGTTTTAAAAGCCACTGGTTCCAGCACGACTGGTCTATCAGGAAACTATGGGAGCACAACGCGCATTTCATGACTGCTTCCATCAAGGGGGACCAGGAACCCAGCACAGGGACGCACAGATCGCAGACACCCCACACTCCGCTAGCCGCACCCATCCCTCCCGCGCCCCCGCGGCCGCAGCCCCCCACTGCGCTGCAGGTGAGCCTCCCCCGCCGCGGCCACAGGCCCACAGTGCGCTTCTTCGAGGCAAAGGCCATACTCACTCAGAACGCAAGGACGGCGTAGCCACTTAACGTGTGGCGACGGCACCACACCTTCTGTGAGGCTCCTGTCCTGTCCTGAGTGTCGCTGACAAGGGCTGTGGGTGTGCTGCCCCTCCCCTGCTCCGTGTCAGAGCACCTGTGGGTTTTACCGTGCGACTGCAGAGCGCAGGGTCTTCAGGAACACACACGCTGCCTTCCAGCAGAACTGTCTATGGGCCCACAGCACATACAGAGACTCCACTAAAACCGCTGGCACCACAGAAGTCCAAGTCTAACTCCTGTGCTGATCTTGCAGAGCCACAGAGCACGTGACGCTCCCCACGAGAATGAGGGGAGGCACGCGGAGACCTAGTCCTAGTCCCAGGCAGGGGATGGAACCTCCCGAGTTTCCCACCGTTAAAACTGGGGTAATAATTTTCCGCTGAGCACACACAGCTCTGCTGCTCAGAGGGAACTGGCTTTCAAAGGTCTGCACAAACCATGCACGGCGTTCAAGGCAGCAGGCTGGCCTTCCCGGTGAAGGGAAAACAGCCGTCACGGAGACAAGATCAAGAGAGCACGGGCACCCACGCCTCCTGAAGCCGAGTGCGAGGCTGGAAGGGCATTCCTTACTTCATGGTAAGTGTCCTCGAGCTCCCCGTCGTAGATCCAGCGGTAAAGGAAGCTCAGCACAGGATGGGACACCAAGCTGAGAATGTGCTGCACCAGCGACCTCACGTACGGGTCCCCCGTCTTCGTGTACGCATGCACAGCGGATGCCAGCTCACCCCCTTTCCTTCCTGCGGGACACACGGAAAACACCCAAGTTACACTCCCCGGACACAGTTAACACAATGCTCATCAGCATGGCCAAGTAACCGAGTCGTGCGTCGGTTTCCTTACTATCACCCTGGACATCGGAGCAGTGCTTAGCATGTCTAGGGGCCCGGAGAGCGAGGGTCTGGCCCGGGCTGCACGAGTCAGAGCGGGGCACTCACCTCCCTCCTCATGGCCGCTCCCGAGCTATTCAAGAGCAAAACCCTGACTCGCTCTTCAACCTACAAAATGAACTTTCACCTTTTCTGACTGAGACACACACATTAAGATTCACACTTGAGGGGTGCCTGGGCGGCTCAGTTGTTAAGTGACTGCCTTCGGCTCGGGTCGTGATCCCGGGGTCCGGGGATCGAGCCCCACGTCGGGCTCCCTGCTCGGCGGGAAGCCTGCTTCTCCCTCTCCCACTCCCCCCGCTTGTGTTCCATCTCTCGCTGTGTCTCTCTCTGCCAAATAAATAAATAAAATCTTAAAGAAATTAAAAAAAAAAAAGATTCACACCTGATACTGCACTCCAAGACACAAATAAATACCCACAGAAGTTCTACAGAAGAATACTCGCACTTTACTGCTCTCTGTCTCCCTCCTGTTCCCTGTGGGTGTGATATGCTATCTCAGTGTGCGGAACTGCTGCACCCTCCAGTCCGGCCGAGGCTTACAGTGAGGCAGCCGGCTCTACCCCCACGGGGCCCTGTGTCCTGGGGGAACAGCTCAGCAGCAAGGCCTGGAAGTGGCAAAAAGCAGGTCCAGAAACACAAGCACAAGAAAAGCTGGTGTTAAGAATTCGGGAAGTTATTAGACTGCTGAAAGATTTTAGGGAAGGACTGATGTGATCTGATGTGAATGAGATGCTTCCAAAGTGCGTGAGGGAGGGGCAGAGAGGTCAGCAGCCGAAGGAGCAGGAGGCCCGGGACTGGAGGGGTTAAGTGAACCATGAAAGGGGAAGACAGAGGAGCAGTCTGGTAGGAACCCACATGGGGGTGCTCAGCATCTGAAAAAACAGACACGCTTATTCACGGTGTTCCACTGCTTTCTCTTTTTGAGGGGAGGTGCTAGGAGGTGGGGGAGGCAGGGCACGGAGGGCACAGTGATGTCGGATCCAGACATGCTAGAGTTCTGGCCCTGGGATCACCCAGCCGGAGGATGGCAGCAGACGCAGGGCCGTGACCTAGGGGCTGACCACGGGCATCTCACACGTCTCACTCAGCCCTCGCAATCCTAAGAAGTGGAGGCTATCAGTGGCCAAGCATTACAGACAAAGAGAAAAGATAAAGAGGTTCTTGGCCAAGGTAGCACAGTGAGAAAAAATGTTCAGAAGACAAGTAGAAATGCAGACCAAGAGCCCAGGAGAGGCCTCAGCCAGACATGCACACTTGAGAGCATGGAACTCACAGCTGGTGAGCCTAGACATGGGCCATAATCTTGGGAGGAGGAAACCCCCAGGAAAGGCTGCTAGGTCAGAGACAAACAAAAGAGGCATAGAGATGAATAGTTACAGCACTGAGGACCACAAAATCCTGAAAAACTAGACCCTTTCCTTTCTTCCTTCATTTCAATGAAATACTAAGGTTCCACAAATACAAAGATGGGGCCGTGTTAGCAACTGGTTATTTCCCCTGTAAGTTACCTATTAGCTTGGATGTAACTGGCATACTTATGGCCGTCATTCGAAAGGACACATGAGAGCAGGCGCAAAAATAAACATAGATGACATTCCCTAAAATCTCTCTGAAATACAACAGGTCCACGAGACGCAGAACAACCTTGGCAGTGGTCCACCAGGGCTGCAAGAGTCTTCAGTCTTATCTTGGGGTCGTACGTCCAAACCAGCAGGCGCCGGAGTGTCAAGCTACTCTCAAGGCCCAAATTCACACCCTGATCATCCTCTAACTGTAGCTGAGAAACAATAAAGATGTAACGTGTAAGTACAAGTCACCAAATAGGTCCACTGTTTCTTAATCCACGTAACGTGCACATGAAGCAAATGTCCCCTCTGAAAGAAAAGCAGCTCCTTCAAGCTACTAGTGATATGTTTACATGGGCGACAGGACCCCAGCTGTGAGCAGTACTTGCCTCTGGAATACACCAAAACTTCACGGATATCCAGACCTTACAAACACTATTAGCAAACAAATTTTTATCTTTTAAAAGCAATTATGAAGAAACTTAAAAATTCTATGTAGCTGCAATTTTGTAACACTGCAAATCACAAAGAAATTAAAATATGAAGTTTACCTGGGAATGTAAAACAGAGAGCAACCGGTAGTATTCTTTCAGCTCCTGATGCAAGGCAGCACAAAAACTCTGCAGGAAAAAGTAGGTATTATGAAGCGCAACACTGTCCTCCCACCAGACACGGCCTCGCACATCGGCCCATGTGGAGCGCACAGTGCGTCACCACTTTGGGTGCTCTGCAGGGTTTAAATCCCATCAACGGCCCTCCACGGGCTCCGTCACCACCACATCTACAGTCAACAACGTTAGGGAGGTGTCATGCCTTAGCACGAGCTTTGCAGAAAAGAAATGAAGAAGAAAAAAAAAAAAAAACAGATCACAGCTAAAAGTGTATTTACTTTAGACAACACTCTTTTTAAGATTACATTCCTTCTAATCTTCAGAGGTAAAATCTAAGTTTCGCTAATGTTTTTAATTAGCAAAATTTAAGAACTAGCAACTCCATGCAAGTTCCTCCCAATTTTTCACTGTTGCTGTTTTTACCGTTCATTTCCCACACTCACATCATTAAAAACTTCACCGTACCTCTGTGATCTTAAATACTGCAAAGGTGTCAAGTCACAAACTGTGACAAAGACCTTCACATAGTCCCGAGATAAGAACTTTCTAGAATGAACTCTAGGATGTAAACCCAGGCATACTCAATGGGAAGAACACACAAAGGTTTATAAAACCTTTTCTTTAAACACCAGCCTCCACACTTTTCTGCATATTTTAAAGCGATACACAATCTGTCATCTGTAGGTTTATTTTAATGCATTTACGTACTCTTCTGTGTTCACACTCCACCAACAGCTACCATGAACAATGTGCAGTATTTGGTCATCTCTGTCGATACACACTGTGGTCTCTATTTTCCTAAGTGGACACGATGGCTACAATGTTCTATTATCAAAATTTCTTTATTTAAAAAGAACCCTCTATTTAAAAATTACTTTCATAATAAGACTTTAAGTAGACTAAGCACTCCCCAAAACGAATGGTGTCCTAAACGTCCTGGTAACAATGAACGTACCTGACCCACAAGTCCAAATGAACGGTCTAGACTCCTCTGGTCAGTGTATTTTCTGATTTTATTATGTAACCATCCCAACTCTGCAAGTCTGAGTGTCGTATCCCTCAAAGATTTACTTAGGTTTGCCTAAAAAATAAATATATGAAGAGTTAAGAATTAACACTAGAATTTCAATTATTATTTTTGTCAATCATTTGTACTTTCAGTATAATTCTTAGGTTCCAACACGGAACCTAAAAGTGACTAATACACTATCAATAAAGACAAAACGAGATTCTGGGAAACAAAAGCACCAGGTGCTGGAAGGGAAATAAGAGCCCTCCGTGTGTGAGGCTCGGGCGGCACCACCCTGAGGTGTGACTGGTTGCACCCCCAGCGCGGCAGGGGCCTGTGTCCTCAGCCACCTCTTCCGACAGCTGGGAGTTGCAGAAGGCCGCAACAGCAACAAGAAGGGGCTGTGGGAAAGGAGGTTCTGGAAGGTGAACGCAGGATAGTAGAGGCACCCTATCTGGAACTGTGTGTCAACAGCAAAGATGCCCCGCTGTACCTGTCCCTCGGGCACCTCTTGACACCACGGCACAGAACACAGGAGGCAGACGCGGACGGAGAAGGGCCCAAACATGAGCCCGCGAGCCAGGAGCACACAGGAAACAGACACCGGGCCCTGACCGTGCACCTGACCGGCACAGCCAGGTTTGGAGATCCAGGCCCCGCCGTCCCAATCCCACCCTGTCACTGCTCCCAGCTGGCCTGGCTGACGTCAGTCTCTCCTGCTCGAGCAGGTGTGGCGGGGCTAGTCACTGTACCTTGGCCTCCACTTTGTAACAGTTCTCCGCGTTGCTCATCTTGATGTTCTTGCCGTCTATGCCCTGGAAGACGTACAAAATGTCTCTGACAAGGGCTGCTTCGGTCACTTCCCCAGCACCTAAAAGATGTTTTTTATAAAAGAGCAATTACCAAACAACACATTTTAAGATGGAATAGATTTTAGGACGCAACTGGTTTTACATTACGTATCTGCAACCATGACAAAATTTTAAAACTAAAAAAATGAGCCTAAGATGGAAAAAGTATGAAGTTCTAAGAAACAAGAATTTTCTGAAAAGGATATGGAGAGCAGGTAATTTCTCATACAAAAAGTCCTAAAAAAAAAAAAAGGGGGGCGGGCAGTGGAGCGCATGGCTGGTGGAGCGTGCGTCTCTTGATCTCGGGGTCGTGAGTTCGAGCCCCACATTGGATGTGGAGATTACTTAAAAATAAAATCTTAAAAAATAAATAAATGAACAAACAAAGCAGTATGTGGGGGCTTAATATACCATCAAGGAGCAACACACACACCAATCAGAAGGGACGGGTAATTATGTCGTTAAGACGGCATTTGGAAAACTGGGTTGTTACATGGCACGCAGACAGATGTAGGTCCATTCTCAACCACATGAAGAGGAGTGGATAGAGTGGAAAAGTTATGATTTCCATAAACCTTGGAACAAACTAAGTCAGACTTTAGGTGTCACCCAATGAAAAGGAGGCAGCGCTCAGAAATTCAAGTTATCAGTGGGAGGAAAAATGCAATGAGTATACAGGCAAGGTCGGCCCTCCCAGAACCAGGGTAGTGAGTCAGAGGTGAGGACAGCTTTGTATTTCAGTCGTGGAGAGAGTATTCCATAAGTATCGATTACATCAAACTGCCGGCAGAACTGTTCAAATGTTACCTACCTATCATTATGGACCGGTCTGTCTACTTTTTCCCATCAATTACTAAGAGAGAAGTGGGAATATCCATCTGTAACTGTGGGTCCGTCTGCGTTCCCTGTAGGGCTGTTAGTTTTCCTTTGTCCGACTGAAGCTCTGTCAGCAGGTGAATATGCACTCAGGAGTATCATCTCTTCCTGAAGAACTGACCCCTTCGTTGTCCGGAACGTCCCTCTGGCCCTGGCAACACTCACAGCACAGTCTCCGTCGACAGAGACACAGCCCCCACCTTCCTGCAGTCAGTGTCTACAAGATGTAATTCTCCACCCATTTACTTCCAACCTACTTGGGGCTCTATATTTAGAATTCATCTCTTTTGAGCAGTACGTAATTGTTTAAGTAGAATTTTTTAAATGTCCTTTAAATAGTGTCTAATCCATATACATTTCATGTGACGACAGACATGACTGGTTTAAATTTACCACTGCAGCATGTTTCCTGTTCACCCTGCTCTTCTTTCTAGCTTTGCACGTCCTGTCCTGCTCTCTTGGATTGATAAGTACACTGTGATGTACTTTATCTGTTAGCTTTGTACATTACACAGGCTTGAAGGCACTGGCTAGAGATCAGAAGTCACACAGAAAGGAGCGGAGAAGGGCACTCTTACTGTCTGGATGCCAGTCCCCCAGCCAAAGCGCCCCCAAGCTGTCCCATGTTACGGGACAGACAGAAGCGGGAAGTGCAGCTGCACAGGCCGGGCTCCGCGCTCCGGGCCGTGTCCCCAGGTGCACACGAGACACCCGGCCCTCGCCTTCCACATAAGCACAGACAGCAGCCAGAGGGATTTCAGAACCTGCAGATGAGGAGCCAACAATAAAGCCCATTCCTCTATTCTCAGATGCTCTCTTGAAAGAAACTCAAGCTTCCTTTTGGGATCTAGTGGAGCTTTAAAACTCTCCACATGTCCACTTAGCCATCAAAGAAATCTTCAATGCATTTCTCCAATGTCCCAGGCGCTGCCAGACTTCCCGAGGCGTGTCAGACCACACTTAGGATCCCGAACCTCTCATCATGAGAACCACCACCACTCAACAATTGTAAGCAAGGACTCCTCATCAGTATTTTAAAATAAGGGAAGCATAAATTCTAAATATGCCAAGAAAATCTACATTGAAGTCTATCTTTACTCACCACCTGCATCCCCTTCCCTCCTCGGTCTTGTCATGTTGCGAGAAACAGTGTTTGGGAGACCTTTTGAGGTAGTGGTTTGTGAAGAAGGCTGGTTTGCAGTTAAAGTCCATGCAAGACGTGACCCCAATTGCTGCCGAAGACAGTCTCCCACTCCCGGAGCGTGATGAGGCTGTCTGAAAGAAGGAAAGCGCATTTCATATCTCCAAACACCCAGGCTACTCACTTGAAAGACAAACCACTGCTGGAAACTCTGCTCATTACTATATTGGATTATGTAATGTTAGAGATCTGAGCTAGGTGAGTGACGCTGCCCTACCCAAATCCATCAACTATCAGTCTAAGGGCTCTTTGGGACCTTTAAGCTGGCATTTGGGCTCTTACTGGCACCTCCCACATATTTCTTAGCATAAAAATCAAAACCTATTTGGCTTTTCTTTACATACACATAACATACGTTACTCCTCTAAAACCACTTTGAAATTCACAACTGATTTTAACTTCAAACTTAACACCTTTCACCCGCTCAGCATCTGCTGACCACAGAAATTAAAAATCTGGTGTGCTGTCCCGTCTTCTGCATGCTCACTTGTCTCCCAGCATTTGCAGTGCTCGATAGGAAAAGAAATATCATAATTTGCAATTAATTTAAAAAATGTACAAATGTACAAAAAAAATGTAAAGTCGAAGGCAAAAGCACAAAGGTCAAGACAGCTTTTGATGATTTGGAGAATATGACAAAGCTGCTCTTTGAGAGGCACCTGGGTGGGTCAGTCGATGAAGCATCTGCCTCTGGCTCAGGTCATGATCCCAGAGTCCTGGGATCGAGCCCCATGTCGGGCTCCCTGCTCAGTGGGGAGTCTGCTTCTCCCTCTCCCTCTGCCTTCCCCTCCCCCTGCTTGTGTTCTCTGTCAAACAAATAAGATCTAAAAAAAAAAAAGCTGCTCTTTGAAATTCTAAGAACCCGATAGCTGATTTCTGAGGACATATGTTCTGACAATTCCAACAAAAATAGTGCTTCCCAGGACTGCGCCCCACAAACGAGCCTCAACGGGGCAGACTGGTTTACTCCAGCGCCACACTGGCGGGACCCATCTGTCACCCACTAATGAAGTGAGAAGGGAAACAGAAACTGGAGAACAGCCCTTTCTCTCTCCTATCTTCAATGGGGAAAAAAAAGTCATCATTAGTACTTGTTAAACTATGACTTTCAATGCAGTTCTAAATTTAAGAGAAAAATTCTAAAGGACCACTTCAGTTCAAAGTTCTCTATACAGTTTTTTTTTTTATATCAGAACAATTACTTCAAATTCTAAGGCAAAAATGACAAAGTCTGTTGACTCTTTTAGCCAGAATACAAGTCAGGGATTAATTCTCTAGAACCTCTTCTGCTATCTTTCTAGAACACCAGACTGCATCTACAACCCGTGTACGATGCATACATTCGAGGTTCTACTGACGTGACACAACTGTATTTACGTCACATGAGAACTTCCTATGATGCTATGCTCGTGTGGAACACATGTGACCATGAATCTCTAGTCACTGGTCTTCTGGAAAAATGCCCATTTTATGACAGTCAGCTTTAACACAATTATGCATAGAAATATGTAAAAAGACAAGAAAAGCAAAGTTCCGAGTCCACTACTGTATGAGCAGCTGCTTCATTCCCAACCACAAACTACATCTCCTGCAAACATGATGAGATCTGCCAACACGTTGACCGTGCGTTCCTGGAGCTCCTCCTCTTCATTCACGAGCACTACACGGCACCATAATTATCATTCTGAAGAAGATCTCATCAGTACTTGAGGACAAGACAGCTTTATTTTAGTTCACTTGTTTTTTAAATAATTCAATAAAGAGAACAGCACACATCAGTGAAGGGGACAATATTCACTGAGAGATAAATACGGGAATACAGCAAAGGAAATGTCAATCGGTTACCTCAAAATGGAAGGCCCATCCTGTCACATTTCTGAACCAGGGCCTTTACTCATATGTACTTGCACTAATAGGGTACGAGTAGACCAAAAATCATTATAGTCAACCGTGACTGGAAGAGGAAGAGTTCCCACGTGAAACGCGAGTTCTTGGAAAGAATAAAATCCTAAGAGGAAGCACACCGGACGCAGTGCCTAGAACATTCCTGGCACACACAGGGCTCTGAAGAGTTTCAGTGAACGCACAAATGCCTCATCAGAAGCCTGGGGATTCTGCTCTTGCTACCGGTTAAGCGCCATGTGTGTGCAAGCCGGACCTACCCTGGAAGGAGAGACTGTGGTGTCGGGGCCAGGCCATTGACGGCGTACACGCTTAGGCTGCTGACGCCACTGCTTCCCACGCTGGCAGCGCCCGAGGCTGACTGGGAGCTGCGGTCCTGGTAGCTCAGCGAGAGAGTCTGGGGCCTGGCACAGTAGTAGGGAGCCGAGTGCGCGTCTCTTGGTAGCGCGTGAGCGAGTAACGCAGCGTAGCTAGAAACCTGAAAATGGAGTCCATTAAGAATACAGAGATAAAGGGGCGCCTGGGCGGCTCGGTCGGGTAAGCGTCCAGCTCTTGGTTTCGGTTCAGGTTCTAAGATTAAGCCCTGCGTCGGGCTCCACACTCAGTGCGGAGTCTGCTTCTCTCTCTCCCTCCCCCTGCTTGTGCGCTCACTCTCTCTAAAACAATAAAATCTTAAAAAAAAAAAAAAAGAATACAGAGATATAAAATTACAGAATACTTCCCAAATCAATAGAGATATGAATATTCAGATTTTAGTTCTTTCTGTAATTGATTTCGTACTCAATAATTTGTTATACTTAATGAAATATGGCAGAACTGATAAAGTTTCAGAAAGTTGTCTAAACTCCAAAACTGCCACATGGTCTGACAACCAACACATTCTTTAGAATCCAAGCAAATTAAATCCCAAATAATTACTCCAGTATTTTTGCAGGTATGGCATTATTCTAAGATCCAAGAGGGCTCATTACTCAGACGGAGACTTTCAACATAAACAGGCCTCCTGCACCCCACTCCTGCCCCCCTGGAGGCGCGCAAGTCTCTGTGTAGAGCACCTCCTCACACGAGAAACTCCAGGCTCACAGCAGCCAGAAAGCTCTTCCCAACACCACATGGGCCAGAGACTGAGCCCACGGGACAACGAAGTTCGCACTGGTATGACAGTAATTAATGTTCGTAATGAGATCTGAAGACACGAGAAAACCTGAAAGGTCCCCTAACTCATACAGAATTACAGCTGTGCTCCTATTAGTAACTTGTGAAAACTGTTTTTATGCTCTATTCCATGGGACACTGTTATATTTGAGGTAATAATGTCACTCTGGAAAACATCTTAAGGAAAAGCAGTGAGTGCCCTGTCTAAAGAAAGAAAGAGGGGCGCCTGGGTGGCTCAGTCGTTAAGCGTCTGCCTTCAGCTGAGGTCATGACCCCGGGGTCCTGGGATCGAGCCCCGCATTGGCCTCCTCCTTGCCCAGTGAGGAGTCTGCTTCTCCCTCTCCCTCTGCTTGTGTGTTCTCTCTCTCTCTCTCTCTGACAAATAAATAAATAAAATCTTAAAAAAATAAAGAAAAGAGGGCGCCTGGGTGGCTCAGTTGGTTAAGCGACTGCCTTCGGCTCAGGTCATGATCCTGGAGTCCCGGGATTGAGTCCCACGTCGGGCTCCCTGCTCAGCAGGGAGTCTGCCTCTCTCTCTGACCCTCCCCCCTCTCATGCTCTCTATCTCATTCTCTCTCTCAAATAAATAAATAAAATCTTAAAAAAAAAAAAAAGCATTTAAAAAAAAAAGAAAGAAAGAAAGAAAAGAAAATCTCTTGACCTTCCATGACTACAAAGAACACTAGACAAGTTATTTTTTTCTTATTATTTTCTTAAGTACAGAAGCCAATTCCTATCAAAATTTGGTATAGTTGATCCAACAAGACATTAAGTGTGCTTTAAAAAGGCACTGAACACGTGGGTGGGCTCAGTCGGTTAGGCATCCAACTCTTGGTTTCAGCTCAGGTCATGATCGCATGGTCATGGGATGGAGCCCCATGTCGGGTTCCCTGCTCAGTGGGGAGTCTGCTTGGGATTCTCCCTCTCCTTCTGCCTCTCCCCCTACCCCATTCCCAGTACAGGCTCTCTCTAAAATAAATAAATAAATCTTTAAAAGAAAAAGGCACTAAGCTGCTCAAACAGAGCCTCTCACCTTGTTCGGCTGCTTGCGTGGATCTTCACTAAGGCTTAGCAAGAGGTAGAGAATTGACCATTTATTTTTCAAAACTCCCTGTTGAAAAAGAAAACATTAAAAGAACAAGTTTGCACTACCCTCCAGTTTTATCTACCTTTCTCCTAAATTATCCTTATTTCCAAAATAGAAATGCAATTTTTAAAATTCACATGGTAACAATTCTAAGTGTGCTCATTTTTCAGGTATTGCAAACAGCACTACCCATTAGAAGTCTGGAAATAACATCTCAGTAGATCATTATCCCCTGAAAACTAACTCCAAAGTCCCTAATGAGAACATGTTTTTGAATTACCCTATTTCAGATTCCGGAATAACAGCAAGTCCCCCTTAAAGTAATTCTTAGAATAACCAACTTCCTAAACATAGTGATTATTTTTTTTATTTTATTTTATTATGTTATTAGTCACCATACAATACATCATTAGTGTTTGATGTAATGATCCACGCTTCATTGTTTTCGTACTCCATGCAGTACGTGCCCTCCTTAGTGATTATAAGAAAAATGCCATCATAAAACAGGTGAATGCTCTCCCCCCCTTTATCAAAGTGCCATTTAGGCCATAAAAGAGCATTATAGAAAGAAAAAAAAAAAGGAATTCTAAAGCACACAACGTAAGTCTCAGCGTCACAAATACCTCAACTCAAAGTTCTGAAGTAAGAATTGCCAGAACTAGTAAACGCCCCCGGTTTCTATGTAAGGTTGTCATATGGATTTCATTAACTTCCATTTGTCTATCACTCCAGCCTGATTCACAACCATTAACAGCAGCCCACCCTCAATACACTTTTTCCCAAATTTACAGAGCATTTCTACTCTATTCATATGGCCTTACCTTTTGGATGCACAAGCTAGAATACATAAATACCTTTATTTAGAAAACTATGGGAAGGTTATTTACCTTACACAAGGTTCTTCATTATATAAAATATGCCTTGAAAGTTTTTTTTAAAGAAAAAGCTCATCTCAGGTATTTAACTCATGGTCTAACTTAAAAAACTGATTTACACGTGATTTTCCAGAAATAATAAACTCACCAGCCCTGACAGAGTCCTCACTCTGGTGGCAAAGAGACAGATGAGCAGATACACTTTGGTGGATATGTGACATCTCAGACATGGGGGCTGGGGGGTCACGGAAGTGGCCCATCACTTATGAAAGGACCCCCAGAGAGGACAGGGTCTCCTAGAAGAATGGGTGATGCACATGCAGAGGAGGGAGCAGGCATGGCCTTCTCGGGTAACTGAAGACAGATAAACCCGGCTAAAGCCAGGCAGGAACATGGACGCTGAAAATGGAATGAACCATCAGACAAAGTGGGCTCCTGTGTGGGACCGAGAAATGGGACAGCAGGAAGCCTCTGAAGGCCTGACTCTACCTGCTAACAGTCCCCCGAGGCATTGGAGACAAAACGAGATGCACAGGAAACTGCAGTCATTTGGGAGGACACAGCCTAGGGCGAGGTGGGCACTCGGTGACCCAGCATGCACCCAACCTTCACGGCCCCCTGTGGGCAGGCCCCGGGCTCCCAGGGCTCAGGGACCCTTGGGGCCTACCCGCCTGCCTCCAAAGGGCCGCTCCTCACCAGATCCCATCTCCTGGAAGGGTCGGGGGCAATCAGCTAACAGCACACTGCCACTTACAGGAGGCCTGCGGGGGACGTCCTCCACACGTCACCTCCGGCCATCGGCACAACCACACAGGGACACAGGCTTTAGTCTCTTCGCTCCGCAAATGACAGAAGCAAAGGTGAAAACCTTAATCACCTACCTACATCACAGAGCCAAGGTCTGCCTGACTCCAAAGGGGACAGATGAGAGGCAGGCCTGAGGGGAACATTTAACAAGACTTGGGGACACAGCGGCCGTGGGGACAGAGGCGGCCTCAATGTGACACCCAGGTTTCTAACTCTGGGCAACAGACGATGTCATCACTCACCAAAGAGGGAAACAGAGGAAAGAGCACGGCTGTGAACGGCCGCCTGGGGTATGAGACGAGAAAACACAGAAGTGCTCCTTCCAGGTCCCAGGGCACCGAGCCACCGGGCCCCGGGGGAGAGCGGGTACGGATGCCCGCGGGCCTCGGGAGGCAGCGCAAGTGTTACCAGCGCAGCGGGGCCCCGGGTTAGACCCACAGCTCTGGCTTGAAAAAATAATGACAACATACAGGGTGGAGAGCAGAGGAAATTGGAAAAGCGAATAAAACTGTGCACCAAAACCCCAGCAAATGGCATCTGTGAAGGAGGAGGCACCATTTCTGTTAACAGAAGAGCAGCCCGAAGAGCGTGCGATGTGGGGACCGTGCAGAGGTCGGTGACCAGCAAGGAGCCTGAGGGCCTGGGGAGGACATGGCTCCCCAGAGCCAGCCAGCAGGGCGTGGGGGGGTGGGGGCTGTCCGCACAGCCCAGAGGCACCGTGGAGCCAGCGCCAAGCCGCTGCCTGGCAGAAGGGCTGGAGCAGCTCGGCCTCGCTGCCCGTGCACCCCGTCAGCTCCAGGTGAAGCCAAGCAGGGGCGGCCCCCCACGGCCCAGAGCCGGGCACGGAAGGGTGGGGGGAGGTCTGCTGGGCAACCAGGGCAAACAACTCCAGCATACAGGTGTTTTAGATGCTTCTAAACCACTTCAGACCCTGTTATCTTAGATTCTGAAATCTCAAGAGCCCTGATTCCGACATAAAACCTCAAGCGTACCGGGCACCAGAGCTGGAGGACCATCAGAACAAGCAGCTTCGTAAAGCAGTTACTAACCCATGCCGGCGACACAGAGCCTCCTCCAGGATTCAAACCCTCCCGACCACGGTCGCCTCCTGCGCAGGCCGGCCAGCCACCGGCCCCCGTGACCCTCCACACCCCGGCGCCACCCCTCACCACCTGCCCCTTTCTGCTGGCCCGCACCACAATGCCCCTGCTGGCCTCCCCCCACCATCCTCCTCTCTCTAGCTCTGTCACCCACAGTCCAGACCGCCGCCCAGGAATTACAGGTCCCCTTCCCCAACATCACTCTCTCCACCTCCCAAGTCCTGCCCATGCCTCACAGGATGCACAGCCGAGAAGGCCCTCAGTGAGAAGATAAAACCTCAAAACCAGGAACCATGTGTTTTAGCAAAACGATGGGATGGCTGGGGGCGCCTGGGTGGCTCAGTGGGCTGGGCGACTGCCTTTGGCTCAGGTCATGACCCTGGGGTCCCGAGATCGAGTCCCACATCGGGCTCCCCACTCAGCGGGGAGTCTGCTTCTCCCTCTAACCCTCCCCCCTCTCATGCTCTCTCTCTCTCGCTCTCTCTCATTCTCTCTCAAATAAATAAAATCTTTAAAAAAAAATTTAAAAAAAGATGGCTGTTACTCTGCACATGTTTTTCTAATTAGTTTAATTACTAGTGTTATGCTATTGTGTCCTAATATTGTTCATCCTGCTTCAGGCACGCAATGAGCCAAGCTGGTTTTGGGGGTCAGCGCTAGGAAGCTGGCTGTCTAAAACACTGTTTAGGAATAAGCAGCATTCAGTGTTCCAAACAAAATTTTGGAAAACAACCATTTTAAATTAGAAATAAAGAGAAAGACTTAAAGAGTTTAATTACTAACAGCTTTAGGCACAACTCAGTAAAAACCAGTGTACTTGATGAACAAAGCATGAAACTTCTGTGGATCTCTCTTCTCTATGACAGGGGGAGACAGCTAGATGAACTATGCTCCTATCCTGTCAGAATCACAAAACTCTCACCCTATGACTCAGTTAGTTTATTCGGGTACAGGAGGGCAGAGTCTTCTATTTAAAAAAAAAACGTTTGAAAAAACACAAACCACTTGTGTGCAAGTTATCAACATCCAATCACAAAATGTTCAAAATCAAAATCTTTTTTCATTTATTCACTTTAACAGCACCGATCAGGGCCTGATATCAGAACACTAACGCGTATCTCGAAGACAAGCTCTCGCTGTTCCGTGCAGTCAGGACTCCCACCAGCGTGCTTCCTCCCCGTGAGGACAGGAAGCCTTCTGTACCATAAACTCAGCTGCGTGTAATTCCGATGACTTTCCCCATGTGGCTTCCTTCATCTTTATAAGCAAGGTGGCATTAAATCCAGCTAAAACTGACTTTTAATACTGACAAGCTCTTAGAAAGCAAACACAATCTGCAATTAAGACCCATTACCCAAGGCAGAACAGTGAGATGTGACGGCACAAGTCCCCAGAGGGGTGTGACGTCCCATGCCCTGTGGGACACGTGGTACCTGTGAGCGCAGCTTTCTGTGCAGTTCCGAAAACAAGGCGGCGTCCGCTTCTCGTCTTTGCCGTACGACTGAAAAATCACAAGAGGAAAGGGGCGTGTTAACCATGTACACCGAAATCCCTTTTATGATCCTGTTTCACCCACGGTAACAGATAACCGACGTCTGAAAAGAATCCTGAGCTTAAGAATAGAAATAACTCACCAACAAATGACACTTCAGCTCTACGAATTTGGTCAATGCCTTTAATCTCTCTGACATTTGTAAAATATGGACAATATGAGGCTGGAATCAAAGTTTATGAGAAAGTTAGCCAAAGCAATAGAAATGATGGGATCTTTTAGATTCTATCTACAAATATGAATAAGCAGTCCAGTGAGGCCCACTACAACCAGTTTAACTCATTAATGACTGCCTGGAAGGAGAGATGTAAAGTAAAAATACCGTGGGAATGGTAAATTCAAAGGGCAATAACCAAAACCTTTATCGTTCATGACAGCCTGACTTGGAACCACACGTAAGCATTTCTGTGAACATGGATAGCCAATACTAGTAAACGTCTTCAGACGCCTGCCCCATAACTCACTAGTTTCCCGAAAGCCACAGTAACACGCGAGGAGCCCATGCTCTGATCCGTTCCATGAGGGATGAGGCTACACACTGGGCCCGGGCCCTGAGGGAGGAGACCCCACGCGCCAGCTGTGCACACGTGCCTCTCACAGGAACCCAGCCACCCCTGCTCCGGAAGAAGAGGCACCACCTTCACCATCTAGCTGACAGCAGCAGGACTGCTTTCTTAAAATGTCATCAGCCAAGTTCACTTAGCTCTAAATGCTCCAACTGGTTTGCAGAACGACAGTAACTGGCTTGATGGCCAATACTTGTCCATATACATCAGCTAGGAACTGGTCTTGGTATCATGTTCTGATCTTATGAACCACATACCAGAAGTTTCATCATCCCAATCACATCTGCACCATCAAGTCATCCTATGCAGAAAGGTAAAGCAATCTTTAAAAATGTATTGTTACAAAATGCATTCAACCAAACTAATGCAATTAAAATCTAATATAACTTATTTCCTTTTAAAACATATTAAAATGTAAAACTTGCATCTAAGAATTAATGAAATACGGTAAGTCAGTGGAGACCGTTACATGAGAGGACCATCAGTAACACTCCACAGACAGCAGCTGAGCCACCGCAGAGCCGGGGACTACGAGGGGGTGCTGACAGCAAGGGGCGCCCAACAGAAGCGATGGACACCTGGTGGGAAGAGGCAGAAGAGCGCGCTGTGTCAATACACAGCAAGCCTCCTTAAAAACGCAGAAGATCCACCCACATCAACTATGCATGGCTAAAGCTTTCTTCTTAAAGGAAATCCCAAGACTTCCTTGCAATAACCACCCCAACAAGGTCACTGCCAGTCCTGTGACTCTGAGTTTAGACCAACTGTTTTCTTTAAATTCAATTAGCCAGCAAGTAGTACATTAGTCTCGGACGTAGTGTTCAATATTCATCGTTTGCGTACAACACCCAGTGCTCATCGCATCACGTGCCCTCCTTAATGCCCGTGACAAACTATTTTTAACTACTACACGTATGCGTAATACGCTCACCAGGCGGCCTCAAGATGTAAATTTGCAAAGGGAATGGTCTGTTAATATAGTACCTCACAAATGGAGTTGTCACTAATAATCCAAAATGTAAGATACTCTGAAGTCTGAAATACAAAAATAATCTAAGATGTGACAGTCATCAGGGTTCAAGAAGAGTCATGTTCGTAATTACGTTCAGTTTTACAGACAAGAAATGTAAATAAAAATAAGATGTCAGAGGTTAATAGCAGGATAAATACTCCATCCGCGGCCCTCCCATAAGTAACACACCACGCTCAGGAACACCAACGGACGGGTCATTCAGGGCTGACCGCTCACAGGCCCGACGGAGCCCAGGCGAGCCGCGCCACGGTGAGGCAGGCGAGCGCCACCGCCAGGCCAGCGGGCCGCCTCCCCTCCAGTCGGGCTGCGCGGCTCGCCGCAGGGCGCGCACAGACCGCTGGCCAGACGCAGTGAAGGACGCACCAGCGGGGGGCTGGAGGCTATGCCGCGAAGAAGGGAAGAAGGGAAGTCCTGGAAGGCGTCATCACGGGTTGGCCGACACAGTCACAGGCCAGGCCGAAGCCCATCTTGTCTGGGCAGTTAACAGCCAGGCCTTAGCAGGGAGAGCGCGCGGACCCTCGTGGCAAGGCTTGCTCTGCTGGCAGCCGAAGCGGGGCAAGAACAGCCCGGAGAGCTGTGAGGAGCAGGCCTCTGGGGAAAAACCACCCTCCGACTGGCACGGGACGAACTTTCCTACATGGATCCTTCTGTGCAAAGCCTCCCTCCCTCCGACAGTCCCGAGTACAGGGAGGCGGCAGAGCCCCACCTCACGCCATCAGAGAACAAACACATCGGCAACCCCACGCTAATGAAGGAAGAGCTTTCTGTATCAGCTGAGAATGACAACGTTCACAAGTGCTAAAGTACTAGAAGTCTGGATGTTGACAATCAATAGAAGTAATACTGAGCTGCTTACTGCCAAGAGAATGGTCTACACTATCTGGTCAAAACGTGCATAATAAATACTGCAAACCACAAGGCGCATAGGAGCTCACCTAAGCCCTTCACGTCCCTCACTCTCACATTATGCTGTTACACGGTATTTAAAACAAGCCTCGGGGCGCCTGGGTGGCTCCGCCGGTGAGGCGTCCGACTCTTGATTTCTGCTCAGGTCATGATCTCAGGGTGGTGGGACCGAGCCCCAGGTCAGGCTCCGTGCTCTGCAGAGAGTCTGCTTCTCTCCCTCTCCCTCTGGCCCTCCCCTCATGCTCTCTACCTCAAATAAATAAATAAATCTTTGAAAAAAATAAAAAATAAAACAAGCCTCTTGCACTATATTCTAATAAAAGACACAGTTAAGTTGTCCATATTTTTAATATATGTTTTTATATACACGTAGCAGCCCCTGTAATTACACTGCGCCTGGGACCACACGTGTACATACGTGTGTATATATATGCACGTACACAAGTTCAAGAATCCTACACACCACACACCAAAGAAAAATACGTACGTTCTTTCTTGATTTTTTCAGCTACAAGAAATTCGTCTCTTTCAACAGTTGGGGCGAAGTTGCTGCCAATAACTCGCACAGCATACTGGAACTGCTGGGCTACGTCAGCTGCAAGGTGAACACAAGGATGCAAATTACTGCCAGTCAGGGTAAGTTCTGATCACCTCGTGTTTCCAGGGGGAGACAGTGGGCTGGGCACATCTATCTACCTCCCACCTTCCTAAGGTTTCAACTAAGGGGACAGAGGAGCTATTAAGAAACCAAAGCAAATGAATGAATAAAATACAGTTCCATAAAACAAGAAAGGGAGACAGTAACAGGCCTCCAGTCTGAAGAATCCTAGGAGACAGACAATGAGATGGGCTCATAATCATAAAAAAAGGAGCAGGGAAAGTCACAGCCCGAACACAGTCCGTGAGAAGTAGACCCGTTCCAGAGAACATCCCAAGAAGCTCCAACGCTGACTGGCGTCCACAAAAATGGAAAACCAAAGAGGGTATTGAGAATCAAAGTGAGCCAACTAACTTAACGGACCATGTTTGCACCTCGGATCGAGAGGATGGCTTAAACACAGATGTCTGCCTCCACTCCCTTCAACAACCCCACTAAACTGAGAATAAACTATTTTGTGTTTGTTTTTACAAAAGCAGAAACCCACAAGGGCAAAGAAAACAAGGCAGAAACCACACCAAAGAGAAGTCAACCAGTGTGAGAAGTTGGAAGGCAAATGGATTGGTGGGAACTGGTTCAGGACAGTGAGACTTGAAGTTCAATGTCCGCTTGGGAGGGGGGAAGGGGCACACAACACAAATACCAACAAGAAACTCAGTTCCCTCTGCAGAAGCCCAGGGAGGCTCCGGAGAAGAGGGAACTCCACAGCTCAGAAGACGTGAATGAACTGGGGCAGAAGAGGACTGGTGGGAAGTCTGGCTGGAAAACAGACTCCTGGGTCCTCTACCCCTTCCCATTCAACCCAGACAACCACGGAGGACCTCACCCAGGCAAATCATAGAGGGTCTGGCTGGGACACTAGGACAGCAAAGGACACGAAGTAAAAGCAGCAGACTGAACTTACGGATCCCAGCCCTCCTTCCCAGACACCGGGAGTCAATATCCCTACACGGTAACATTAGCAACACCCCCTACCTTCCCACTGAGGCACAATCACCCCGCAGGGTGCACCCCAACCTACACCAGGCAAAAACCATGAACAAGACGAAATCCCCAGACAGTCCCACAGGCACCATGGGCAGAAGTGCCTTTCCCGGTCATCGGAAAAATAAGCGAAGAGAAAATGAGCCAGGATGCAGACCTGAGCACCGCAACAACAAGCCAAGCCTAGCCAAGCCTAAGTGATGCTTACAGAACGTCTGCTCACCAACTAAAGAATGCACATTTTTTTCAAATACACATGGAACACTCACCAGGACAGACTACACTGGGGGTCACAAAACAAACTTCATCAAATACAAAATAACTAAAATTATTCGAAGTATGCTCTCTACCAATAACAGAATTAAACCTGAAATCAGTAATGAAATGGTATCTGAAAAATCCTCAACCATCTGGAAGGCAATCAACATAATACTATATAACACAATGGCCAGACAAAGTCTCAAAGAAAATCAGAAAATATCTTGAACAGGGGCGCCTGGGTGGCTCAGTCATTAAGCGCCTGCCTTCAGCTCAAGTCACGATCCCAGAGTCCTGGGATCGAGCCCCGCATCGGGCTCCCTGCTCCACGGGAAGCCTGCTTCTCCTTCTCCCAATCCCCCTGCTTGTGTTCCCTCTCTCGCTGTGTCTGTCAAATAAATAAATAAGATCTTTAAAAAAAAAAAAAGAAAATCTTGAACTGAATGAAAATGAAAATACAACACACTAAAATATTGAGACGCAGCAGAAGCAGTGTTTAGGAAAAAATGTAGAGTATAAAATGCTTTTATTAAAAAGGAAGATGAGGGGTGCCTGGGTGGCTCAGTCATTAAGCGTCTGCCTTCGGCTCAGGTCATGATCCCAGGGTTCTGGGATTGAGCCCCACATCGGGCTCCCTGCTCCGCGGGAAGCCTGCTTCTCCCTCTCCCACTCCCCCTGCTTGTGTTCCCTCTCTCGCTGTGTCTCTCTGTGTCAAATAAATAAATTAAAAAAAAAAAAAAAAAGGAAGATGTGTCTCAAGTCAATAATATCAGCTTACAGAATAAAATCTAGAAAAAGAAAAGCAAACTCAGACCATTAGGAAATAAAGACAAAAGCAAAAATCAATGAAACTTAAAACAGAAATACGAAAAACAAAATCAGTGAAACCAAAAGCTTGTTCTTAAAAAAACAAAACAAAAAAACCCATGGAATTGAGAAACATAAATTTGTGACCAAGAAAAGACAGACACAAATTTAGGAATCAAAGAGGTGATATTGCCGCTGACCCCATAGAAATTTTTGAAAATGAAGGCTAAATAACTTCTGTAGATTGCCCCTCTTCAAGGAGCTGGTATGCCGTAACACCCAGCCTATAAGTGTGGGCTGCTCGGTGTCTTCCCATTTGAGAGGAGAGCGTGGAAATGGGGAAGAGCACCAGGCGGAAGAGACATCTGACAAACACACCTCAGCCAGGTGATCAAGGTCACGACCACAGTGGCCACTGTGATGAGCGACTTAACAGGATACACCCTGGATACTAGGTGATGAGAAGGGCACTCTGCCTCTGGGGCCTTCCTCCCAAACAGAGAGAACCACAGTCTAATCACGAGGAAAAAAAACACCAGCTAAATCCCTACTGAGACATTCTATAAAATAACTTTTAATCCTAAAAACTGTCAAGGTCATCAAAAAAGTAATAATTTTTTAAAGTCTGAGAAACTATCAGAGCCAACAGGAGCCCAAGGAGACATGACAGCTAAAGGTAACATGGTACCCTTGAAAGAACCGTACAGGAGTAAAGGGACATCAGGTAACAAGTGAGAAAATCTGAGGAAAGTATGTAGCGAATGCATCCTTAGATTCACTCACTGGAAGAATCATACCATACTAATGTAAGACGCTAATAAAGGGAAAGGTGTGGAATATAAGGGGACTCTGTATGATAGTCGCAATTTTCCTATAAATCTGTACTCATTCTAAAATAAAGCATACTGATTCTAAACCCCATCTTTCACCAATCATGGTTTATTGATCTGGAATGGGGCCATGGTATCAATATTTTCAGGGGTGCCTGGGTGGCTCAGTCGGTTAAGCAGCTGACTCTTAATTTCGGCTCAGGTCATGAACTCAGAGTCGTGAGATCAAGCCCCGAGGCGCATTCACGTTCAGCACAGAGTCTGCTTGAGATTCTCTCTCTCCTCCCTCTGCACTGCCACCTCCCACAGCTCACTCTTAAGTAAATATATAAAATCTTTTTTTAAAATTATATTTTCAGGGGCGCCTGGGTGGCTCAGTCGTTAAGCGTCTGCCTTCGGCTCAGGTCATGATCCCAGGATCCTGGGATCGAGCCCCGCATCGGGCTGCCTGCTCCGCGGGAGGCCTGCTTCTCCCTCTCCCCCTCCCCCTGCTTGTGTTCCCTCTCTCACTGTCTCTCTCTCTCTGTTGAAAAATAAATAAAATATTTAAAAAAAAAGAATTATATTTTCAAAGCTCTGTTTTAGGGGCACCTGGGTGGCTCAGTTGGTTAAGCGACTGCCTTCGGCTCAGGTCATGATCCTGGAGTCTTGGGATCAAGTCCCACATCGGGCTCCCGGCTCAGCGGGGAGCCTGCTTCTCCCTCTGACCCTCTCCCCTCTCATGCTGTCTCTCTCTCAAATAAATAAATAAAATCTTTAAAGCTCTGTTTTAAAAACTTTAAAGAATAAAGCAACTTAAATGTGGGGGGAAAATAGTTTCTTTGGTAAATTCAAAAAGAATCTCAGCCCACATCGTATAACATATATAAAAGTTAATTCAAATATGTCACAGTAAGCATAAAACATAAGCCTACAACACTCTTGGGGGGAAAAAAAAACAACAGAAGAAGTAGTCTTCACAAAGAAATCTTTGTGACTTGGAGTTAGACAAAGAGTTTTTACGTAAAATACCAAAATCCTGAACCATTAAAAAATGTGACACACTGGAGTCCATCCAAGATTAAACTTCTGCTCTGCAAAGGACGCTGTTAAGAGAATGAATATACTGAGAAAACATCTGCAAAACACAACAAAGGACTTGAATCAGATAAATAGAGAGAACTCTCAAAACGCAGTAAAGGGGGGAAAATCCAAAAAATCCACCCCCCCAAAAAAATCCAAAAGTTTTCAACAGACAATTCACCAAAGATGAACAGCAAAGAAACACATGACAAGATGCTCAATGAAATTCCTCATCAGGGAAACACCATTTAAAACCACAACGAGACGCCATTATTCCTCTATTGAACTGGGGCCATAAAAACAGATGGCCCCCACCCAGGCGGGGAGCTCTCTGAGCTCGGGAGCTCTTCTCACACACTGGCCAGGGAGAGTTTCTTTAAAAGCGAAGCATACGCTTTCCGTGCTGCCTAGCAATCCCACTTGTAGGTATTTACTCCACAGCTGCCATCCACCTGCAAGGAGTCTCCTCGCTAGCTTGGTCACCCAGTTCCCACTTTTGCCCCCCGAAATTATCCAAGTCAGAGTGATCTTTTTAAAACATAAATAATATCATCGCTCTGCTTGAACCCTCCGAACACACACAGAATAAAATCCAAACTCACCAGGACAGCCTACCCAACCCGGTCCCTTGCCACTTCACTAAGGCACCTCCTGCCTCTCACCTCCCAGCTGCTCTGGCTACGCACTGGCCGTGCTTTGCGGTCTTGCCAATCCTTGAGCACACGACACCTGCTTCCAGCTCAGACCTTGACCGTCTTCTCCCACATCTTCCCAGGACTCCTTCCACTACGTCACTTGGTTCTCCATTAAATGTCACCTCCTCACACGGCCTTCCTATCTCAAGCACACCCAAACACACACGCATGCAGGGCAAGCAAATAGCACAGAATGTGTTCAGGACTTGGTGAATACAAAGGGGGGAAAAAGCAGAAGAAACCAAAAGCAAAAAGAAATAATCAGAGTGTTTCTGTGGAATCCTAACATTGGCGAGTAGTTTTAATTTTCTTCCTCATAATTTTTCATACTTTTAAAGTTTTCTATGGGGTAAATATTAATTTTATAAATACATATTAAAAGTGGCATTGGGGTGCCTGGGTGGCTCAGTTGGTTATGCGTCCAACTCTTGACCTCTGGGTTGTGAGTTAGAGCCCCACATTGGGCTCCACACTGGTCATGGAGACTGCTTAAAGAAAAAAATATGTGGCAGTGGAAACTACTTGCTTACAAAGGGGTACCTGTAAAATTATTCTACTTAAAAAATACTTTTAGATTCCCATGATCCTGAGTTCTACAAAAACTAGTTTACTAACAACCTATTCAAGTACATCAGACTACTATCTCTGCTCCAAAAGTTTCATCAAGTTTTGACTTTTCTAACACTCAAACCTCCTCCACACCAGAAGCACGCTCTCCCTCTCCCCCCACCCACCCCCCCGCCCCGGTCTCTGCACAAGGCACCTGTGGTCCCGTGCAGCATCTCACCTTGGCCTCATCGGCCGCCTTCCATTTCCCCATCTCCTTGCCAACCAAGTTTGCTATCTTTCTTGCTGGTATCAAATATTTGAAAATCCATCTGCTATTTTTAAATAAAACATACCTAAGTTGCAGGGGTAGTTGCATAGAATACGGACTACTAAATTCACAGTGACAATTTTTCTCTGTTTAGTGAGCCTAACCATCGAAGATTAAAATGCGAAATATCAAACAATGTTGACTACAAATTTCTAGTTTAATACTCCCCAAATCCTATTCCCTTTCTAGAGTACAGCTAAGCTCAATCAGTAATTGGAAGAATAATTCCTAAGCAGCTACTCTGTGCTAAACACCATGGGCCCTAAGAGCAGAACAGAGCATAGTGGTTAACAAGGCAGTCTTAGTGAGAATCCGAAAAATGAGGCCAGTAACGCACAAGGTGATTAGTCTGTGGTCAGAGCTGCTCAGAAAACGAGCAGGATGCCACGACGGCAAATGACAGGGAGGACCTCGTGAAATGGGCTGCTTAGGGAAGGCCTCTCTGAGGAAGCTGCCCTCTGACAGGGAGGAGCCCGCCACGTGAAAGGACACGAGGAGATGCCCAGCGCTACTGCGTACTCTGTTTCTCAAAGGACGCCAACGCCAATGGGTCCTAAAATCCAAATCATAACAGCTAAAGTCATTCCGTTGACACCCAGGTGAGGAGTTCCAGGCTGTAGCTCTTTAATGACTGGCTCAGTCCAAGATTTAAAAAAAGAGTATTCAGGGCGCCTGGGTGGCTCAGTCGTTAAGCGCCTGCCTTCAGCTCAGGTCATGATCCCAGGGTCCTGGGATCGAGCCCCACATCGGGCTCCCTGCTCCGCGGGAAGCCTGCTTCTCCCTCTCCCACTCCCCCTGCTTGTGTTCCCTCTCTCACTGTGTCTCTCTGTTAAATAAATAAATAAAAATCTTTAAAAAAAAAAAAGGGTATTCAACTTTTTTTTTTTTTTTTACCACAAAACACCCGAGGAACGCATTCTGTCCCCACCTCCAACCTGCCGTATGTGTCCAGAGCCCGGAAGGGAAGCCAGTGCTCTGCTGCCCAGCCTCTAAGATCTCTCCAAGGAGAACCGGGCACCGGCAGATTCAAGGACACAGCATCAGACGAGTACCAGAGAGCAGACACTGTGCCAATCGCGCGCGCACACACACACACACACACTCTGAAACAAGCAGGTGTTCAGAACAACCAGGTGAGGACGGAGGCGAGAGGCCGCACCATGGGCAGGACTAGCACTGTGCTGCCTTCACTCAGCACACAGGCAAGTAAGGTGGCAGATGCTACACAGAACAGGAAGGAATTAATTCAAGACATCAGGTTCTGGAACCAGAGATGTGGGTTCCTATCTCGGCCCTGCAATTCACTAGCTCAGTGACAGCGAGCAAACTACGTACTCTCTGCACATCTGTCTCCTCAGCTACAAGGTGAGGGCAGTAAGTTCTCCAACCTTCCAGCATCACCGGGAGCTAAATCCACTAGCTCACGGTGCAAGCACAGTGTCTGGCAAGTACTTGGAAAATGTTAGCTATTTTTATTATTATTATTAATCTGAAAATGTCATTTCAATGCATGTTATGTCTACCACAGCCATTAAAACCATAACGCAACAAAGCACCCAGCTTTTAACTTCTCAGCAAGATAATTTGGTCTTCATCTTGTAGATTACACGTAGGAAACAAATGAATTCTCTTCACCTGGTGTGATGAGATTTCTTCTCCAGAAAGGACCGTCTGGCAGCAGCGCAGAAGAGGGGCTGGAAGAGGTACGACACCAGGGCAAGAAATGCACTGGGACTGCATGGTCTCAATCGCGAAGGCTCCAAGAGCCCTTAGATGTGGGACCAAGAGTTTTTAAACGACCGCTGCCTTTTAGATCCCAAAAAGGTTCCACGCACACTCAGATCAAAGAAAACCAAACGCAGAGATGCACGAAAGCCTCGCGGCTCCGGGGAGTGCAAACGCTGCAGCTGTGAGCTCTCGAGGGTGTCCCGAGGTGGCCGGGGACAGACAGTGAACTGACTGGTGAGGCCGGCGTCTGTGCCTCGCTGCTCCTTCTCATGCAGACAGCGCAGCTGTCCTCCAGGCCGGGACGACGCGCCGGCGAGAGCACAGGGGAGTGGAGCTCTGGAGCCAGCCAGGCCGCGTCCCTCCAGATGCGGGTCACAGGGACGGCATGCCAGTGTGGCAAGTACCAAGCTTCCACCGACCCCTACAGAATCAGAATCTCTGCAGACGGGGCCCACAAGATTCATTCTGAGTAAGCACCCCATGTGAACTATACAAAGTGACAAGGTGCGAAGACCTAGACACAGTAAGATACACCACAGACACAACAGATGGGCTGCTGGGCCGCCAGTGACGCCCACCGCCACCCTGCTATCTGGTTCTCCCCGACCACAGGGGATCCAATGCATGGCTCCAGCTGAATGAAAAGCAACGCTCCAGGACAAAAACAAAAACAAAAAACATTGCTCTAGATCTGTGGTTCTCAAACTGTTTGGTCTCAGGGCCCCTTTACACTCTTAGGATTGAGGATCCTTAAAAGGATTTGTTTATTTATATAGGTTAAATCTATCCATATTTACTATATTAGAAATTTAAACCAAGATTTTTATATATTAATTCATTTTAAAATAACAGTAAGCCCACTAAGCACAACTTTAAAATGAAGCCTAAAACTCTGAAATTTCAATATGTTAACAGGCATTTAGTGCACATTTCAACATACATTTAACATAAGTCTTAATGTCTAGTTAATATACATTGATTTCTCCAAGTATATATAATCAAGGGAAGACCATAACTTATTGGGAACTTCATCAAGAGTTCCTCACCATTTTTGGAAAATCATGACACTAACAGCAGTACCACTTGAGGTTCAAGAACCAGCAAGACGAGACTCCTTCCTCTGCACTGCGGCTCAGGACACACTCCCAGCCCTGCTACAGATCAGGGCGATCATCTTAATTCAATGCACCATGTACTGTCGTCATACCTAAGCATTTATGTTGAAATACTTACCAAATAAAAGCTCCTGTTTTTGTTATCTCTTGTCAGAAAAAGGATTACGAAGTATGGAAAGGAAAGTTGCCCCTGACAGAGGTGAAACTGTAATATCAAGAACACTGTCTCCAAGGACAGAAATGACTGTCCAAAGATATAATAAGTAAAATGTGCTCTGGGAGAGAGGCAGGGAGAGAGAGAGAATTTTCCAGTCACTGGCTGGCAGTATGCATTTCAAGCAAATTCTCAGGCTGGAAAGGCTGAGAAATAATGGTTATACTAACTTTATAAAAATGTCAAATACCAATACAGTTAGGTGCTTTGTTTCTGAGGGTCCCTTCAAGCCAACTATTAAAATTTTAAATACTTTATGAAAAACTGATTCATATGAAACTCGTGTTAAAACTAACAAGGGGCGCCTGGGTGGCTCAGTTAGTTAAGCGTCCAACTCTTGATTTCAGCTCAGGGCTCAGGTCATGATCTCAGGGTCCTGCGATGGAGCTCCACATCAGGAGCAGGGAGCCCGCTTAAGATTCTCTTCCTCTCTCTCTTGCCCCTTCCCCTGCTCCCCCAGCTCGCTCGCTCACTCACTCTCTCTTTCTCTCTCTCAAAAAACAAAAGTAACAAGTATCGGGGAGCCCTGCTGGCTCAGTCATAGAGCATGCAACTCTCAATCTCAGGGTCATGAGTTCAAGCCCCACATCAGCGGAGAGCTTACATTAAAAAAAAAAAAGTTACAAGTGTCAATTATTCCTCAATACCACAGCACTGAAAAAGCAATATTACAAAAGTATAAGGCCAGTTGTGACATGACATTAAAAAAGGATTAACCAAATGTGCTTTAATCTCCTGGAAGGGATCAAACAGTCAGTCAATCAAAAGGAGCCTCAATTTTTTTGAGAAACGTCATGCTACCTCACAATAAATGCCCTTCAAAGTCCATCTGTGGCAACGGGAACAGACGATTGTGTGGTTTGTCCCCGGAGGAAAACTGAGGACCCGCCGGTATAATGAAAACACTGATGTTGGAGCTTCGCTCTCTCCGTCCCTCTCCCCAGAACCCTTCCTTCCCCGATGCTCCCAGGGCCCCCTCACTGCCTCCGGCTCTGGTCAAACATCTCAGGGGCCTTCCCTCGCCTCTCCCCGCGCGTCACCCACTCTATTTTCATTACAGCATCTGCCACTCACGTACGTTCACCTATCTTACCACGTCTCCTCCACCAGAAGGCACATTTCCCTGCGGAACGACTGGTCTGTGTTTGTCTGCATCACCAGCCCCCAGCTTAGTGCCTAGGGGTGGCGAGCCCAGAGATTTGCTGGATGAATAAAGTGGCAGAGTTACGCTTCATAAAACGTCGCAAGGACGGTGTGAAGGTGGGGTCACTCCATACGCCAGGAAAAGCCCGCCTTTATCCCTTTACCCTTACCACAGACCATCAAATAAGTTGTGTACCTGCCATGAACCATGGAAGATCCAAATTTAGCCTCGATATTTTAAAAGTAATTCTGTTTGGCGCCTTCCAGCAAAAACGGCACAACTTCTTGGCCACACTGCGGTGCAGAAGGAACAGTAACCCCTCCACGGCGCATCCCCAGCTCACCGCTGCCGCCAAAGCAAACACCCGGAGAGGCCGGGCTGCCATTTCTTAAAGCACCGCGACCCCGTAATGTCTTTACACACGGTCCAGGGCTGGGTCTGGGAAGCAGTGTCTGCAGGGCGAAGCCCCAGCAGCAGCGTTACGGGAAGGGCAACCCAAGGGCCTCGGGAGAGAGGCGTGGCCGAACAGGCGCGCCCTCCCCCCCGCATCCCACTCGGAGCCGCCAGAGCCTCCCCAGGGGCGGCGAGGGTGACGCCCGGCCGCCCCCGGCCACCCCCTCGCCCGGCCACCGCTCCGCCGGCGCCCGAGAGGGTGGACGCGCCTGCGAGCCGCCGGCCCCGGCTTCGCCCCAGAGCGCGGCGCGCGGCAGCAGTGACTCAGCCCCGCCAGGCCCGGCCTCCGCCCCGGCGGCTGCAGCTCTCCGCAGGCGGCGGCGCCGCGCGGGCCCGCGCCCCCCGCGCCCCCCGCGCCCCCCGCGGCCCCCGCGCCCCCGCGCCCCCCGGGCCTCACGCGGACCGGCGGCCTCCGGGCCGAGCCCGAGCCCCGAGCCGCCGGCCCAGCCCCGCTACCTTCGCTCCTGCCCAGGATCCGGCAGCACAGGTTCTGCAGCAGGACGTTCGGCGACTTCTGGTCCGGGGTCGCCATGCTCGCCCGGGCCGGCCCAGGGGGTCCCAGAGCCCCTGCCCTCGCCCGCCCCCCCCACGGCCCGCCGCCTCCCGCCGCCGCGCACCGGCTACGGCCCCGCGGGCCACGCCGGCGCCGAGGCCGCCATTTTGACGGAACCCGCCGAAAGCGCGCGCCCTTCCCACAGTGCTCCGCTTCTTCCGGCGCCGGGGGCCGCGGGTGCGCCGGCCCGAGCGGTCCCCGCTCCGTCTGCGCGCTCCCCGGAACTCAGCCGCCGGGCCTCGAGGGTTCCGGCAGCGGCGCCCCGGCCGCTCGCTGCTCGAGGGGCCCCCGGTGCTCCCGGTGCTCAGACCGCCCCCGACGCTCGTCCCCGCAGGAGGGTCAGAGCGGACCAGGTCCCACCCCCGTCCCCGCCAGAGGGTCAGGACGGACGAGACACCCCCCCACACTCATCCTCGCCAGAGGGTCAGGACAGATGAGACCCCCCCACCACGTCCCCGCAGGAGGGTCAGGACGGACCAGACACCCCCCCGTCCCCGCTAGAGGGTCAGGACGGACCAGGTCCCCCCCACCCCACGTCCCTGCCAGAGGGTCAGGACGGACCAGACCCCCCCTCCATGTCCCCGCCAGAGGGTCAGGACGGACCGGGTCCCCCTCCACCACGTCCCCGCCAGAGGGTCAGGACGGACCAGACACCCCCCCACACTCATCCTCGCCAGAGGGTCAGGACAGATGAGACCCCCCCACCACGTCCCTGCCAGAGGGTCAGGACTGACCGGGTCCCCCTCCACCACGTCCCCGCAGGAGGGTCAGGACGGACCAGGTCTCCCCCCCGTCCCCGCCAGAGGGTCAGGACGGACGAGACACCCCCCCACACTCATCCTCGCCAGAGGGTCAGGACAGATGAGACCCCCCCACCACGTCCCTGCCAGAGGGTCAGGACTGACCGGGTCCCCCTCCACCACGTCCCCGCAGGAGGGTCAGGACGGACCAGACACCCCCCCGTCCCCGCTAGAGGGTCAGGACGGACCAGGTCCCACCCACGTCCCCAACAGAGGGTCAGGACGGACCAGGTCTCCCCCACCACGTCCCTGCCAGAGGGTCAGGACGGACGAGACACCCCCCCCCACACTCATCCTCGCCAGAGAGTCAGGACAGATGAGACCCCCCCACCACGTCCCTGCCAGAGGGTCAGGACTGACCGGGTCCCCCTCCACCACGTCCCCGCAGGAGGGTCAGGACGGACCAGACACCCCCCCGTCCCCGCTAGAGGGTCAAGATGGACCAGACCCCCCCCCCCATGTCCCCGCCAGAGGGTCAGGACGGACCAGGTCCCACCCCCGTCCCCGCCAGAGGGTCAGGACGGACGAGACACCCCCCCCACACTCATCCTCGCCAGAGGGTCAGGACAGATGAGACCCCCCCACCACGTCCCTGCCAGAGGGTCAGGACTGACCGGGTCCCCCTCCACCACGTCCCCGCCAGAGGGTCAGGACGGACGAGACACCCCCCCACACTCATCCTCGCCAGAGGGTCAGGACGGACCAGGTCCCCCACCATGTCCCCGCCAGAGGGTCAGGACAGATGAGACCCCCCCACCACGTCCCTGCCAGAGGGTCAGGACGGACCGGGTCCCCCTCCACCACGTCCCCGCAGGAGGGTCAGGACGGACCAGGTCTCCCCCCCGTCCCCGCCAGAGGGTCAGGACGGACCAGACACCCCCCCACACTCATCCTCGCCAGAGGGTCAGGACGGACCAGGTCCCACCCACATCCCCAACAGAGGGTCAGGACGGACCAGACCCCCCCCACCCCCGTCCCTGCCAGAGGGTCAGGACGGACCAGGTCCCCCCCACCCCACGTCCCTGCCAGAGGGTCAGGACGGACCAGACCCCCCCTCCATGTCCCCGCCAGAGGGTCAGGACTGACCGGGTCCCCCTCCACCACGTCCCCGCCAGAGGGTCAGGACGGACCAGACACCCCCCCACACTCATCCTCGCCAGAGGGTCAGGACAGATGAGACCCCCCCACCACGTCCCTGCCAGAGGGTCAGGACGGACCGGGTCCCCCTCCACCACGTCCCCGCAGGAGGGTCAGGACGGACCAGGTCTCCCCCCCGTCCCCGCCAGAGGGTCAGGACGGACCAGACCCCCCCCACCCCCGTCCCTGCCAGAGGGTCAGGACGGACCAGGTCCCCCCCACCCCACGTCCCTGCCAGAGGGTCAGGACGGACCAGACCCCCCCTCCATGTCCCCGCCAGAGGGTCAGGACGGACCAGGTCCCCCCCACCCCACGTCCCTGCCAGAGGGTCAGGACGGACCAGACCCCCCCTCCATGTCCCCCGCCAGAGGGTCAGGACTGACCGGGTCCCCCTCCACCACGTCCCCGCAGGAGGGTCAGGACGGACCAGACACCCCCCCACACTCATCCTCGCCAGAGGGTCAGGACAGATGAGACCCCCCCACCACGTCCCTGCCAGAGGGTCAGGACGGACCGGGTCCCCCTCCACCACGTCCCCGCAGGAGGGTCAGGACGGACCAGACACCCCCCCGTCCCCGCTAGAGGGTCAGGACGGACCAGGTCCCACCCACGTCCCCAACAGAGGGTCAGGACGGACCAGGTCTCCCCCACCACGTCCCTGCCAGAGGGTCAGGACGGACCAGACCCCCCCTCCATGTCCCCGCCAGAGGGTCAGGACGGACCAGGTCCCCCCCACCCCACGTCCCTGCCAGAGGATCAGGACGGACCAGGTCCCACCCACGTCCCCAACAGAGGGTCAGGACGGACCAGGTCTCTCCCCCCCCCGCCCCGTCCCCGCCAGAGGGTCAACACGGACCAGGTCCCCCCCACCATGTCCCTGCCAGAGGGTCAGGACGGACCAGACCCCCCCCCCATGTCCCCGCCAGAGGGTCAGGAAGGACCAGGTCCCACCCACGTCCCCAACAGAGGGTCAGGACGGACCAGACCCCCCCCACCCCCGTCCCTGCCAGAGGGTCAGGACGGACCAGGTCCCCCCCACCCCACGTCCCTGCCAGAGGGTCAGGACGGACCAGACCCCCCCTCCATGTCCCCGCCAGAGGGTCAGGACTGACCGGGTCCCCCTCCACCACGTCCCCGCCAGAGGGTCAGGACGGACCAGACACCCCCCCACACTCATCCTCGCCAGAGGGTCAGGACAGATGAGACCCCCCCACCACGTCCCTGCCAGAGGGTCAGGACGGACCGGGTCCCCCTCCACCACGTCCCCGCAGGAGGGTCAGGACGGACCAGACACCCCCCCGTCCCCGCTAGAGGGTCAGGACGGACCAGGTCCCACCCACGTCCCCAACAGAGGGTCAGGACGGACCAGGTCTCCCCCACCACGTCCCTGCCAGAGGGTCAGGACGGACCAGACCCCCCCTCCATGTCCCCGCCAGAGGGTCAGGACGGACCAGGTCCCCCCCACCCCACGTCCCTGCCAGAGGATCAGGACGGACCAGGTCCCACCCACGTCCCCAACAGAGGGTCAGGACGGACCAGGTCTCTCCCCCCCCCCGCCCCGTCCCCGCCAGAGGGTCAACACGGACCAGGTCCCCCCCACCATGTCCCTGCCAGAGGGTCAGGACGGACCAGACCCCCCCCCCATGTCCCCGCCAGAGGGTCAGGAAGGACCAGGTCCCACCCACGTCCCCAACAGAGGGTCAGGACGGACCAGACCCCCCCCACCCCCGTCCCTGCCAGAGGGTCAGGACGGACCAGGTCCCCCCCACCCCACGTCCCTGCCAGAGGGTCAGGACAGACCAGACCCCCCCTCCATGTCCCCGCCAGAGGGTCAGGACTGACCGGGTCCCCCTCCACCACGTCCCCGCCAGAGGGTCAGGACGGACCAGACACCCCCCCACACTCATCCTCGCCAGAGGGTCAGGACAGATGAGACCCCCCCACCACGTCCCTGCCAGAGGGTCAGGACTGACCGGGTCCCCCTCCACCACGTCCCCGCAGGAGGGTCAGGACGGACCAGGTCTCCCCCCCGTCCCCGCCAGAGGGTCAGGACGGACCAGACACCCCCCCACACTCATCCTCGCCAGAGGGTCAGGACGGACCAGGTCCCACCCACATCCCCAACAGAGGGTCAGGACGGACCAGACCCCCCCCACCCCCGTCCCTGCCAGAGGGTCAGGACGGACCAGGTTCCCCCCACCCCACGTCCCTGCCAGAGGGTCAGGACGGACCAGACCCCCCCTCCATGTCCCCGCCAGAGGGTCAGGACTGACCGGGTCCCCCTCCACCACGTCCCCGCAGGAGGGTCAGGACGGACCAGACACCCCCCCGTCCCCGCTAGAGGGTCAAGATGGACCAGACCCCCCCCCATGTCCCCGCCAGAGGGTCAGGACGGACCAGGTCCCCCCCACCCCACGTCCCCGCCAGAGGGTCAGGACGGACCA